GGGAGGGAGGAAGGAAGGAAGGAAAGAGAGAGAGAGAGAAAGAAAGAGAAAGAAAGTAGCTTACAAATAGACATGGCTCTGCACCTTCAAGATTGTTTTCTTAAAGACCCACATTTTTAGCATAACTTCTAAGATTGTAATTCATAATTGCAAGCCACAAAAAGAAAAAACAAGTCTTTATGGTGAAGTAAAGAACATATGGGCAAGTTAGTTATATATTTCAGCATAAACAGAGATAGTTTCCAGGCATTTAAAGCCCTCATAAGAAACACAAAATTGAACTGGGAATATTCAAGGCTGTTACATAATGAAACACCACTGATTCTGAAGGCCAATCTGTGTACCAGCAGCAACCACAAAGGGTTTGGAAATTAGAGGCCAGAGAAGACATTAACCAAGTAGATAAAGACTGTAACTCTTGGCCTCTATTTGGCCTCCATATTCCCCCTGCCGAGAATACCTCTGCTGTCTTTGATTAATCCCTACTTACCTTTCAGCACACACTTAAATGATGCCTCACCTATCTACTGTAGAGGTTAATTTGTCCAATCACAGGAGAAACTATTTAGAATATGGATACCCACGCATTAATCTTATGGAGTCTTCCTTGCAATGAAGCAAGGAATCTACATTTTTTAAAAATAGTGTTGCATCGCTTATTCACTGACCTATGTATAAAGTCTTTCTTGCCTTTTTTTTTTTTTTAATACCCACTCTTCCCCCAACCTTGTTGGAGCCTCATACGGGATTCCTTTGGTTCCCTGTAACAAAAGAAGCAATGTAGTATCACAGTGCATCATAAAATTGAGTTTTTGGTAAATTATCAATGCCTTTTAGGAAATTCAGAACTGGCTTTTATTGGTAAAGTCTTAATGGGCATTCAAAAAAAATCTTTCCGTGAACATGCCAATGAATGTTTTTTAATAACAGATCATGACAACTTCATAAACTACCAAAAAAAAAAATACATTGCACAGTAAAACAATTTCTGATGTTTTGAAAATACTTTTTCACTTTACATGAAATACACTATGTGCTTCTGCTTGGATCTTACTCTCAATTTTGAGATACTTTGGAAAAGCCACAAAATACATCCTATACTAAGAACAAAAGTCCCTAGTATGAGTTTGTGATCATAGCCTCTGAAATCTCAAAAGTTGCCACAATATTTTTCCAGTCCTGTAAACTTAAAGATATAACTCCTTGTCTCCTACCATAAGAACTGGGATCATTTCCCTCACCCACTTGGTTAATATTAATCGGCTCTAATATTGGCAGCCTGTCTTGGTCAAGCCTTATTCTTGCAAAACCATCCCTTATAATGAAAGAAACATAAAAGATATTCTCCACAGTACGAGAAAAAGAGTTTGGATCAATCACAAACTCAAAATAGGACACGGGAGTATCAGGATACTTTCGAAAGTAAGTTTGCAACAATCCCAAGATTCTTTCTACTTCTTTTTCTGTTGCTTCTTGATTATTACTCAGGTCCAACTTCCTCAGCTTTGTAGGCATAGCCCCATTTTCTTCCATTTTGTGAGCTTTCTTCTGGTGTTCAAGTCGGGGCTTTGGTGCAGAAGGCTTAGACTTGAATGAACCAAAAATAAAGTGGAATGTTTCAGCTTGCACTATCCAGGATGTTGCTTCCTTCTGTACTGTCTCCCAGAAGGAAAGAGCTATATTATCATCACAGCCACTCAATTCATCACGTTCATCATCTTCCATCCAGTTCAGGCCCACAAATATAAACAGAAAGTCACAAAACGCTACTTGATTAAAAAAGCTCATATCACAGTTCAGTTGCTTTGCTTTCTCTTTACCCAAATCAGAAGCCAAAACAAGAAACTGGGCATCGAGTGCTGCTTCTCTGGTTCGGCTCACTCCATCAAACAGGACATTGGCTTCTTCAAGGGCCTCGGTTAACGTGTCGCTCGCCGTGTTCACTATGTCATCACGGTTCTGATGGACACTATAGATGAGCTGTCGGTACTGCCTGCGGATTTTCCGGCATTTCTCCTCGTCATCCGCAAGCCCTAGGAGGTATGGGTCTATGTCGGCCTCCCGGCAGCTGAGGTCGTCAGGGCAGTCATCAGCCCCCACCGCCACTTCCACCTTCATCGGTTCTTCCTCGTCCTCCACCCGCTTCACAGAGAACGCACTACCAGCGATGGTCCCCGCTGGCTCCTCTCCTTTCTCCACGCCTCCCCTCAAGGAGCCTTTTTCATCAGACATTCCGGCGACCGGCGCGCTCAGCTGACACTCAGCTAACTGCATTCGCTACGTTTCCGACCGTGGCGGAAATTGAAGGGGGTCTGTAGGAGCAGACGTCGCCCATGCGCACTGGCGGGGTCCCGAGGCCCCGCCCCCAGGTGGCTCCGGTTCCCGGCGGCCCAGGCCCGCGGAGCCCAGACGCACCCGAGTTAGCAACCGGCTCCCTGCCGCACAGCACAGAACGTGCGCAATAATGGGGCCCCTGTCCACACTACGATAATACCCGCTCAACAGATAGCTATTATTTTAGCAATTACTGACAGTGTCCTCTGGCTTTCAAAGAAATACCTAGACAATCATAGCAAAATGGGGGAGGGGAGGGTCAAAGCTCCTGCACTTTAAAACATTTGCCGTCACCTTGCAGTTAGGTCAGCCTATGTTTTTCGTTCTTCTCTGATTAAAAGGCAGCGTCCTTGGGGTTTTGGTTTTTTGAGAACTGAATCTGGCTGCGTTGTAAACTGCCCATAAAGCCAAGCATTGTGAGTTGCTGAACCTCCACTACAAATAGGCCGAACTCTCAGAGTTCACTTGCAAAGTGGCTGTTTGCATTAATTACCTTCACGGGCCCTCAAAAGCCAGACCCCCCTCCAAACTAGGGCAGAGGCAGTTGCGAGGCAAGAGGCAAGAGAGTGTCGGCTAGTGCATGAGCTAAAGTGGTGGCAGGTCAGGCATTACTCAAGTGACCTTTGGTTCTCCACCACCCAAGGGTGGAAGAATAAAGTGGGTGCAGTCTCTGCAAAAGAGAGGTTTCTTTGAAAGTTTGCCAAAAGCTAAAGACCACAGACTGAATGGAGAGTAAATCTGAACCCTAAAAGGTAAGCAAAGCTATGAAAAAAAAATTTTTTTTAACGTTTATTTATTTTTTTGAGACAGAGAGAGACAGAGCATGAACAGGGGAGGGGCAGAGAGAGAGGGAGACACAGAATCTGAAACAGGCTCCAGGCTCTGAGCTGTCAGCACAGAGCCCAACGCGGGGCTCGAACTCACGGACTGTGAGATCATGCCCTGAGCCGAAGTCAGACACTCAACTGACCAAGCCACCCAGGCGCCCCAAAGCTATGAAAATTTTAAACACAATCTGTTGGAAGAAAAAGGAAGCGAATGATGTAAATCGAGTGACTACATTGGAAAATTCACCGGGAATCCCCGCACAGTTGGGGGAAAGGGCTCATTTAGCTCATCAGTCTCACAAGCAGCAAAGCAGATGTAACAATAAGGAATACATTTTGTTTTTAAAGAGAACAAAAAAGTACACTCTCAACCCAGATCAAAAGCTTTTCACTTCAACAGGTGCCATTTTAATTGGGGGTGCGGGGAGACAAATACCACTGCACCTGTCAATTCTGATTTCAAGGCACCAAGAGGTAGTAAATTAGCCCTACCTTCCTTCCCATGCGTCTAGACTGGGTCATTTTTCCTGTCTTTACCAGAAAGTTTCTTGCAAATGCGTGAACAGTAAACCCTAGTATTAAGTTTCTCTAAACTATTTACATTACTCTTCATCCCCCATTATTTTAAGTATAGGTAATTCAGGGGGGAAAACGTGCATTTTTCAAAAGCACCAGGCATTATAGTTACTCATGCATATATATTATCCTGCTCTATTAGACTGAACTTCTCTAAAGCAAGAATCTGATTTTAAATCTTCCAAGCAAAGCTGTGTGTTCACATGGATACATTGGAATATGCATGTTTGAATGTATAAATGAATGTAGATGAAAACTTTGTTCCAGCCCCTACTGCAAGTTATTTGGCAGCAAAATATTAATTTCACAGATCAGTGGGAAAACACAGATCCAACACACTGAAAAGAAAACTTGACTGCTTTTCAGAAAGTCAGGTTTAAGTCTTCTCTGAAGTACAGTAAAAGCAAGAGAAAAACAAAGGTGGACCCCAGTTTCATCAAAGGGCCATATTTTCTTCCCCAAGTTTGGCCAACTACAAACTATTTAAATCTGTTCTAAATCTTAGATGAAAACATATAATTAATCCCAAGTTCCAAATACAAAAATGTTTCCTTTTACAGTTAACCATATTCTTGGGAGCTTCTGTGAAATCCAGTGAAATCCAGTGAAAGCAATTTGTGAAAAGAACTCCAAAACAAAGGCCAACCTTCCCACCCCAAGGTGCCTCTTCTCCCGTCTCAGAGAAGGGAAAACGGGCTGACACCAATGTGCTCCATACACAGCCTTTCATCTAAGAATTCCAAAACGGTTTAGAAAAATAATTCTCCCAACCTACTTCTAAAGCATTATTAATACCATTTACAGGGATTTCTCAGGAGATAACAGCCCACACAACTTGCCCAGAGCAACAGAACGCATCAAGACAAGCATCGTATTATTAAGTAGTGATTTCCAGTGCTGAATCCTGTGCTGGATCCCTGTCCTTAAGAACCTTGGGAACGTGTAACTCAGATCATCCTCAGAAAGCCATACTTGTGGGGCACCTGGCTGGCTCGCTTGGGAGAACATGTGACTCTTCATCTCGGGGTCTTGAGTTCCAGCCCCACATTGGGTGTAGAGATGACTTACATGAATAAATGAATAAACTTAAAAAAAAAAGTCATTCTTGCATTATATTTTGCCTTTTCAACTCTGCCTTTAGAGTACAAGTTTTGAATGTCGCTACAGAGCAAAAATCTCAAGTGTAACAATTTTCCTTAATCTTTTAAAGAATGGGATTTCTACACTTGCGAATCCTGAAATCACTAAATAGCGATTTTCTACCCTAAGGTCCAATTACTCGTAATAAGTATATAAACGCAGCTTAAAAAGAAGAACGCAATGCATACGTTCAGTTATACTGGGAACCTTCTCTATGAATTGTAACAGCACAAGCACACTAGTGCTTCGAAGAAATCACTCAAGTTTGCCTTCTTCGTTCAGTAAGGTGACAAGTTCAGGCAACCATGACATACAGCCTGGCCTCCAAAATAATTCAGCTCTTCTCCTCCCCCTTTTTCCCTCTTTCAGGAGTTGCTGGCAAGAGCTCAACATGGCCTTATATTTCCTTTCTTCTTTCCTCCAGTTTTTTCCTATTTTCCAGTCCCTTGCTAGGAGTTCGGACTCATTCGAGTCCCAGCTCTTAAGCGGTCTCCCACAACCCCTGGTGGTCAACACAAACGTGATGGGATGGATGGCACAGATAACAGGTCTCTCTATGGCCAAATAAAAAAAGAACTCCCAGAGGGTCAGTGGGGGTTCTACTGCAGGATTAATCTATAACAAATGGGCATATGAGAAACCTCTGAGCCGAAGCCAGGAGCCAATCAGGTCTGGGTCGCCATCCAGCACGTATGCTTCTAATGCTACCAGCTAGCTCCCTGAACTTTTCTGTTCCTTCTTTCCCAGCCCTTTCTCTGCCCTGATCCTGCCACGGTGACTATTCAATACTTAGATAAGAAGAGTCTTTTCTTTTTTTTAATTTGTTGTTGTTGTTTTATTTTTGAGAGAGACAGAGCACAAGCTCTGAGAAGGGCAGAGAGAGTGAAAGACACAGGATCTAAAATAGGCTCCAGGCTCCAAGCTGACAGCACAAAGCCTGACGCGGGGCTCGAACTCACAAGCTGTGAGATCACGACTTAAGCTGAAGTCGGACGCTTAACCGACTGAGCCACCCAGGCTCCCTAGATGAGACGAGTCTTACTGATCAAAGTACTAGTTTGATTTGTCAGAATAGCAGGACATGAGGTATATTTTCTCTTTCATCTTAATTTCCTTCAAGGTTATGTTTGTGTGCATACGTTTTTGCTTTAGTTGGTGTTTTAGTATTTCAGGTAAACTTTGCCATGATCAAGGTAGGTACATATTTTTTAAATAACCATGGACAGTGGAAGAAGGCAAACCTGGGTTCCAATCTTAACTTATTATTAGTTATTAGGTTTCTCTTAGGTAGGTTGCTTAACTGCTCAGTGTCTGGTTTCCTCATTTGTAAGGTAGAGATAGTACTACTTAAACACCATAAGCTACTATAAGTTTTGAACAAGAATTATGTGACAGATCGGATAATATTTTCAAATACTTAGTAGGTAATTAGTAAGTCTTCAATCATCCCAAAGATAGTAAATGTTTAATAAACATTATAAACTAAATGGAAAAAAAGAAGTATACAAACCAGTAGCTTCACTCCTGCATGTTGTTTTAGGAAAAGAAAAATATTTTAAAGGTTAAATCCACAAGGAGGCATACAAGAATATATCCCCACTGTAACTAATACCAGTGAAAAGGCACTTGCCACATAATGCAATTTAAAAACCTAGGAAGTCTTCAACTAATGGAGTGCATATAGTACTTTGAAGAGATAAACCTCTGTACTAAATATTCTGAAGCCAGTCTATTAAGAGTCTGAGATTGGGGCGCCTGGGTGGCTCAGTCGATTAAGCGGCCGACTTCGGCTCGGGTCATGATCTCGCTGTCCGTGAGTTCGAGCCCCGCGTCGGGCTCTGGGCTGATGGCAGAGCCTGGAGCCTGTTTCCGATTCTGTGTCTCCCTCTCTCTCTGCCCCTCCCCCATTCATGCTCTGTCTCTCTCTGTCTCAAAAGTAAATAAAAGTTAAAAAAAAATTAAAAAAAAAAAGAGTCTGAGATTTATATGCAAAATTATCGGGTATATTTTTCTCATGAGTGGTTCCTTGGATTTCAGCAGATTCTTAAAAAAAAAAAAGTATCCAAAAGAAGCTCTGAATAACTGTTCTATTCAAATAACATGTGATTTATTGTTGGTGAAGTAAGAGTACACAAAACCTCCGCCCTCGCTCTGTAGTCAGAAGGCACACGCTTTGCAGACACCAGCAAACCCAGTGCTGGCTGACTTTCCAAGCCTCAAGAGCAAACGTAAACAAGGGTGTGAGTTGAGAATAGAACCTTTCAGGTTATGAGAGCAATTACCAACCCTCTCGGGACACACCTCAGAAGTCAGCAATGACCGGGAGCATCATTTTGATAGACGACGGGCAGGAAAGCACAGGGTATGTGGTTTCTAAGAAGGCAGCCTTGAAGGAGTTCACACTGGAGGTCTGGGCTCCAGTCAGAACTAGTGCTGTATTAGTTTCCACTTATTCTCCTCAGAGTCTGAGTTTCCTCATTTGTAAAGTGAGTCTATTGGATGTCAACCCAGCCAGTCTGTGTATGTGTATGTGTATAATCACATACAAATATTTGTTGACAAACATATTTTTAAATATATACATTTGCCCCACAGATTTCTGTTACAGATAGCAAAAACAGTGCCTAGCCCAAGGTGGAGAACACAGGTACTCAAAAGTACCTGTAGCTAAATAAATGTAATGGGACTTCCTTCTCAACTGACCTTGACACACCTGCATAAAACAATGAAGGTAGCCGCTGCTGCTGTTATACAGCTCTTTAAAATTCTGAGCCATTTATATGCTGCCTAGAATCTCTCCAGGATATCTTAAGTCTTGGTCTCAGATACAGACAGTCCACCTTCATAAAATCAGACATCTTGTAACTAAATAACCTCACTTGAAGTTAGTCTCCTCTGGCCCCTGCCATCATCCAGTCATTCAACAAATTATTTATTGAATGCATACCAAGTGTTACACACACACACACACACACACACACACACACACACACACACAGAGAAGGTACAAAAATAAGTCATTTTTGTTCTAAAGGAATGTAAATTTAGTAGGCACGGAGGAATGCAGTTCCACTCTGCAAGCATTTAATGAATGAATGCCAATTTGCCAGAGCTATGCTAGAAATACTGAGATATGCATGGGCTCAGCTCTGAATCATGAGCACACAACCACACTGGGGAGCTCAGGCATGTATCCCAATAGCTGTAACACAAAGTCAAGTG